ACCTCATCTACCTCATGTTCAGTAGATATTGATGACATTTTTCTAGATGATGACCTCCCCATATTGCAAGGCTTTCTGTTGGCTATAGATTTAACTACATACGAATCACTCCAACTACATGCAAGAGGTGTTACAGAGGTTGAGGTTGAGGTTGATGCTAATACATCAGAAGAAGAGGAAGACAATGGAGAAGAAAAATATTCAAAAACCTCAAGAAATAGTGATAAAGTTAAGGAGGATGATGATAGCAATGATTGATTGAAATATTTGTTATTAATATAATATATATTATTGCTCATTAAATATATGTATTAAAATTTCTTTGCCTTATATGTATTATTTTATCAAGTTCTATTTTTCATTTAAAATAGCATCATTGCATGATTGTTCTAAATTTAAATTTGTTATTCATTATTTTTATACAGGTATTAACGACTATTTTGTTATTCCTTTTTCAGGATGTTTGGTAATCCCGCAAGTTCAGTGAGGAGGAGATCCTCTTCTTCGGGTTCCCAAGGGTGACATAATCGCAATCAACCATAGGTGTTTACTGATGTTGGAGTTGCTCTTGATGCAAAGTACATGATACATGACCCATTGACAAAGGATGTGGATCATTTTTCCTCTGACCATGGTGGTGAGCACCCTTCATCCTCAAAGGGCAAAAAAGGACGTGATAGGAATTTGAAGGGCTTGCAAGGTTCAGCTAACTCATGATAAGCTACAGTTTGCTAATCCCACCATACCTTGAGCTATCATTTCCTTATAGAAGCCATGTTTTGATGCCCATACTTCACATTTAAGCATCTCCCCCATAAAAAGATCAACAAAATTTTAAATTGTTTCAAAGTAAGATTTTATTTTAGCAAATCTAATAAAACTAATGGATTTAGCAATTTATGGAATAAAAATAAATTACTTAAATACTAAACTAGAAATTTTAATTTTCACAAATCTAATGTTATTCATTTCTTATTTTGTAGGCACTTTACTAGTGGCTTGCTGCAGATAGTGTCTATGTGTGCAATGCATTCTTAAATTGTATGAAACATAGATGGAGTGACAATATTAGGAATGAGAGGTTGGAGTGGGAGAAAGACCCAATTTATATCCCATGTTGGATCCCAACTCATATATGGTCTCAGATGCAGGAATATTGGAACTTTGATGAATTCAAGATGCTTCGTAAAAGAGGAGCAAAGAACAGGAGGTCTGGGGAAAGGGTGACTCACACGCTGGGTTAACTAGCTTTGGCATCCACAAGATGCAAATGATAATCAAGCATAATTAATAAAAAAATAAATATATTAGATTTTATTTAATAATAAATTATGTGTTAATTCATACTAACCAATATATTGCATTATAACCAATTAATAAAATTATTTAGCAAAGTTTGTTGTTTTTCCATATATTATTTTTAAATTGCTTTTAACAACATTATTATTATTATTTTGGTTTTCAAGATGCTTCTGCCACAGAGTGCACGGAGACCCACAGCCCTAATGTTAGTTTGTGGCCACTCATATATCAACAGGCATGGTGTAATGCTGTTGAAGGTTGCTCTTCCAATTTCATGCTGGGGATTGGGTCACAAGTAAATCCAAAGGACATTGGATTTACTTATAGGAAGAGACAACCTTGAGACAACTTGATGGCTATGATGATGATGACTAACTTTGTTAAGGAGCAAGCATTCCAAAATGAGCTTGTGGCAAAAAAAAAGAAAAAAAAAGAAGAAAAAAGAAGAAGAAGAAGAAGAAGAGTTAGAAAGGCAACATCAACAAATGGCTCTGATGTAGCAACAGCTAACTAGATGACACAGGTTCAGAATAACATGAGCCAAACAATTGCACAGTCTGTTATGGTAGCTCTCACTGCTTATAACATCTGCCCCCAAGTAGTTCATCTTCCATTTGGCCTTCCACAGCCACCACATAGCTAGGGCTTAGGTCTATGCTCGAATACACCTTTCGCTCACTCCACTGATTCCGCCCAGACTTCTCCCATACTACTCAGATATCAACACCAGCTTCAGCCTCCAAATGACATATACCATCTTGTTTTTTATCCATATTATTAGGCTTCTTATGTTTTTTGATACTGTAATACCTTGAAAATTTTTCCAAGATTTTAGATTTTAAGCAAGCCTATGAAGAATTTATTTAATTGTGATGTAAGAGAAAAATAATAATTGATTAATCAATTTACGGAGAGATAACTAAAAAAAAAAAAGAGCGAGATTATTTGGGATCAAATCTATTGAGGGGATACAAAGTAAAAGAATTAGCTTTGACATGTTTTTATTATTACACTTGGGCAATTCAGAAAAAAGAAAGAATAGCATTTAATTTCGATCTGAACTAACAGCTTGACCCTACATTAGTAATCTGGCCATAAATTCCTCTATAGATTTCAAATGAAGGTGATTCTTGATCCTATTGAAAGTGAAGACATAGGGTTACAGTTGGTTTGTTAACTATTTAGCTTAGTTTGGTCAATTTCTGGGTGCAAATTTTGTTGAAAGTTTCGGTTCAGAATCTGACCAAAACTTGCCATCAAGTTCTTACTAATCTGGTGTCCAAACTTTGTAGTCCTTAGCTCTATTTTTTTTTTTTTTTTTGGGTCTTTACTCTCTAGTTCTTAGACATCTTTGATAACCAAATTCTAAGCTCGTGAGAGATCTTAATTTCCTATGAAGTGAGGTAAGTAAATTTTCAGTTTTGCCAATGGCTCTAAACTAAGGTTTTAAAAGCATATATATATTTTAATTGTTTCGAGTTTGTGATAGGACTTGACTTGATTTATATTGATATATCAGCATTT